GCGGAGACGTCGCGAAACACCTAACCCAGGAAACAATGTATTCTCGCGTGTCCGACCTCTGACCCGTAGGTGTCACGAAGCCCGATGGCTCATGCATCGTGTCCAGGTTAACAGAAACGTTCGACAACCAGCGGGAGATTAGTCCGGAGCGCGGGAAATCCGCTTAGCAACAACAGCCCCGAAGGAATCGATAATGAAGCAACTTTCTTCGGAATTATCGTTCTTCGAGACGTGCTTTGCTCGCGTTCGTCATCCCGGTGTTTGGAGATCGATGTTGCTGAATTTTTCAGCGACTGGCTACGAACTTCGGATATCGTGCACTTCCGGGGAGGACGCTGACGCGTGGAGCCTTTCAGAGCGCGGAATCTGATGAAACAAAAATTGATTTTGAACTCGGCGTCTTTGGCGAATTATTGCTATGAACATGGTTTTCCTAGAGAACACGAAGAATTTGGAAATCTGGACTTCTGAAGATTTGGAGATGCAAAAAATTTACGAAGTCGAGACATTTAGAGCTGCGGTGAATTTGTGTCCGGAAAATATTTGCATATTTGAAAAATTAAAACTGCGGATTTTTAAATTTAAGAAATTTAGAGATGTTTGGTTTTTAAAAATTTACGAATTGCAAACCTGCCAAATTTTTAAATTTGAAAATCCACTTTGGATTATTTGACATACTTGAGCTTCCGAAATCAAAGAACTCTTTTTTTCCTACATTTATCCTTAACCAAAGAAAGCCTATATTCGAGTGTAATGGAATTCTTGAAAATATTTGGACTGAGCTATGACGCACCAGATGCGTCTTCGAGTGAATTTCTCCCATCTCTTCTTTTCCACATCGATCGAAAAGAACGAGTCAGTGAAAATGAAAGCAATGCGAACTTCGGATGACATCCAGAAGCTAAGTAAAGAAACGATTGTAGGAACTCAACGCTTTTTATTGATAACAGTTCGAGATTCAACATGAACTTTTATTCTATGCGAAATGCCCGTGTATCGTATATAAAGTTATATAAATATTATAAATAATTAGGTGTATTTGTCCGGCTCGAGACTCCTCGATAAACCGACACGCGCACGAAACGGAGCCCATCTTTGTCCTCTTCGGCTGGAAACCGGTAACGTCTAATCATTGGCGTAACTAGGACCTTGTCCGAAATAAATTGCTACGTGCTCTGAAAATTTCAAAATTTCCATCGTCCTAAATTTCTAAATATTTGCTGAGTTCGGAAATTGAAATTTCTGAAGTCATACGAGGAGTGAAAATTTATAAATTTGGAAGTAAATTATAATTTTCGTAAATTTGAGAATATTGTGATGTTACATAGTCACACGATAAATCGCCACGCGTTATGTCCCAACAGTACCTTCATCTAGTTACGCCAACGGGCCTAATCAATGGTGCAACAGAAAAGCAAAACTCGATCATCGCCAGTCTCTCTCTTTCTCTCTCTCACTCTCTCTCTGTTCTATTTCTCGTTCGAAACGTGGAAGAATGGCGTGCTTCGCGAGGACACCTTCTACGCGAAAATTATCGGTTCTAAAGTTCGGTGATCGGTCGCGAACGATTCGAGGCACTGTTAATTTATTTACCCCCGCGCGTTTTCTCTCGTGACGTGTATATTATAAAAGGAAGAACGATCCACCGCGACAATCGACATCAGCGCACGTTTCTTGCTCTCTCTTATTTTTTGGTTGGTCCCTAATGCTCTCTTTTCCCTACAAAAACGAATTGTTCTTGCCTTCTTTGTTTCTCGTTTATCTCTCGATTCTCAATCGTTCGTCCATTTACACGATTCAACCCTTTCGTTCTCTCATTCATTCGTTCTTCGTTCATTCACGAATCGTATGTATCATTATTATATCTATACATATTATATAATAGAACACGGGGGGAAGGAGGATGAGGGGGGAGAGAGAGAACAGAACAACACGTGGCGATTTTCTCTTTCTCTCGCGTCGTGCTTGATTCTCTCGATTTACATCGTTCATCGACGTGGACACGATTACAGCATCCGCCTCCTTCTTTTATCGTTTACTCTTTTTTTTTTTGGAGATTTTCTCGAGTTTTTCTTGCTTTAGATTATGTTTCGTGGCCCCAATATTTTACAAGACAATAATGAACGCTCCTACGTCCGATTCGAGGGAATTTTCCTTTATAATTATTGAAACGAACGAACAAACAAACAAACAAACAAACAAACAAACAGAAATAGAAAAAAAAAACAAAAGAACGATTCGTATTTTCGCTAATATCCGCGCGTACACGCGCGAGTGCGCGAATATAAAATACAATAATAGTTGTAGAGTGACGAGCGAAACTCCGCATCGGAAGTATTCGTGCACACTTTTCGGCGAACGGTCGAGGATATATTATATATTTATATATATTTATTTTTTCTTTTACTCCTTCCCTTCTTTACTCTCGTCATTTTCACCCATATCGTTCGGTGTTCGTGTAACTTTATGGATCCTTGTTTTCCTTGTTTTCCCTCTATCGACCCCTTCTTTCTTTTCAGATACTTTTGATTAGACGAACCGTGGATTGCTACTCCTTTTTTTAGCTATGGAATGTATCACTATTTGGAAGATTAGTCGCAGACCCGTTTCACGGTAACGATGAACTGCGATTGCTCGTTAACCTCTATAAAAATCTACTTATTAACATATTGTACCATCGATGAGATCTTCAGACTCTGAGTGCTGATCACACGATACAATTATTGTATACAAAATGGTTGCAATGGAAACGCTTTCTTTTGGAAAAATTCTACCATCTAGGGAAACTATCACGTACATTGTCAAATCTTCAAATTTAGAAATTTGCTACATTAGAAAATTTGAATCTACCTTTGTAAATTTCTAAATTTCACAATGTAATCTTGAAGATCCAAAACTTTGAGAAGTCACAGGACCTCAAGTTAATTTTGATATTTAGAAATTTCTGAATAATCCAAAAGTTTCTAACTTGTAACTACCTAATCAAGACATCAAACTGTATTAATAACCAAAGAAAGTACATTCTCAGATATTCAGTTGTTGCATAATCAACGTCATCATCAGCACCGAAGTTCCTGAACTTCACCGTCGTACAATACGTTAATATTTCAAGAAAGAAATTTTGAACGGAACCTTCAACGAATTCGCATCAAACGATTACTTACCGCGTCTATATATATGTTCGAACGTGCATAATTGAACGTTTGGCAGAAAGAGAACGCTGTTCATCGTAGCGAAAACGGAGTTCGCACCTCACCGTGATTATTTCTCGTGTGCAACCTGTCGATTCGGCGACACAGCACATCCTGCGGGACTAAAACTCAATAAATACACTCGTTCGAGGTAAATGTGCTTTATCGCCGTGCAAAAACATTCGCTTCACCCGTCATCATTCTCTCTGCACGCGTTTTTTTTTTCATCACACACTCTCGCCCATCTTTCGCTCCTTTCCATTCGTTCAACTCGATTACTATTATTTATTCTATATATATATGTATATATATATAGATCTGTATATATATAATATTTACCTATATCATTAGAGTTCTTAATTATAATCAGCTAAACTTTGCGAGCTTACGATCCTGTGTGTATCTGTGTTGTATACTTTTTATGTACAGTCAAGATTTCAATTCATCCTGTAGCAACACTAACGCCGCGTTCTTAGGAAGCTTCTCATCGTCATTCTCTCCCTCTCTTTCTCTCCTCGTCAACAAACACAACGCGAATCCGTACACTGAGCGGGCATGGTAGGCTATCCTAGGGAAAATGGCGACGTTAGGGAAAAATACCTCGTTAAATTTCTAACTGATGAAAGCTCACATTTACTCATTTAAATTTAATGAAAATCAGAATCAAGTAAACTTAAAAATTCTAAAATGTCGAAACTATGAAATTTTACAATGTAAAGACTTCAGACTTTGAAAATTTATACACATAATTTTTTAAAAGTTTACAGAAATAAAAATCTAAATAAATGATTAAGTCTCTCATTGAAGATTGAAGATGGTGTGAGGTTTTTGTCCCTAAGTTGCCCTCATCCAAAGGAAGCCCAAGTTGCACCGGAGTGTACACGTGACCGATCGTTCGAATCGAACGATTTCTGATTCAAGTTTCGATCGTCAATGGTCACGCGAATTCATCGAGAATCGAATATATATTTATATGTATTTATATCTCGTAATTGACTTTCTGTTAATTGTAAATACGCCGTCGCGGCACTGTTAAATACGCTACGATCTTAGCGGTTATGTCGTAACGTCAGCCGTGAACGAAACCTCGAGCGACGTACGGTGATACACGACTTACTTTCTCCGGATCAGTTCATAATTTCCGAGCAGTATTTCTTTCAAATTTTCTATCAATACGTTCTGCGCGAATTTTAAGCCGAACGCATTGTTACAGAATCGAAAGAAACAGAGTTAACTTCAAACTTACTGATTCAAGGAGAAAGTAAGTCTCATGCATCACTGTGGATCCTCGAGGGCACCAGCGAAAGACCGCCACGTTTTCCTCTCGAACACCCCGGATCGTGAAAAATCAAGAGAAGCCGCGTGATCTGGAGTGCGCGTCGAGGTCACCGTCCGGGCGTCGTCGACGCGTGCACTCGATAGAAATCGATCGATTCCGATCGCTAAAAAAATGGATAAACTTTTACGAATTCGTGGCTACGCTTGTACAAAACGAATTTCCCGCTTGCCTCTTGATTTTCCACACTTGTCCACTCTCCCCTCCTTTCATTCTATCCCGTTCGCTCTCGTCTTTGCTGTTCCGATCGTTACCATAAAGAAATTCAATTTTCCTAAAACGTGATTGCCTAGAAGAATGCGATCGTCAGCCAAGATAGCTGCCGAAAATGCTCTACGACCGGGTCTCTGTGCACCGCAGGTCGAACCTGGACCTCAGGTTGCTCGACTCCAGAATTGTCCTCCCTCTGATCCGGAGATCGGGACACTCGAGGAGGTACTTCCGTTTCTCGTGTTTATTCCTACTACTGTACATGGTGCACGGTTGAGGCCGGTTCGACTGGATCGAACACCCTGACGTTTGCGCGAGGATGGATCAATCGATCAACGCGGAGGACCTTTCCGGGGTCACCGTGATCGTCACTGCTCCACGGAGGTGGCCGCTTCTTCCATCCTCGTATCACTTCTCAAACGTGATTCATTCGCGGTCTGCTCATCCATTTTCTGTATCCATCTTTACGATGAACACGACCCGAGCGAATTGCATCTAACCTTGCTTCATTTATATTCGTCTAACCGCTCCAGCCTCCGTTCCGAGCGACGATTACGCTCCACTTTGGTTCATTGATTGCGCGATATCGTCAAGCGAATCGTCGAAGCACGACGCGACTCAGAAAGTGGATTTACTAGCGGCGGTGAAACCGTCGCAGAAATCGTAACGCGTGCTTCGACAGGGTGATCGATGTGGCGCGTTCGCGTCGCGATCGAGTTTGCAACCGACCCCGACAACGTTCGATTTCCCGAATAGACCGCGATACGCGTGGTCTTACAGAATATCGAGGTTGAAGCCCGCCGTTGAGTCGAGGGAATTCAGCAGCTCCTGAGCGCTGAAGTTCGACGTGTCTCCGGTCGGAAGATTCTCCAGAAATTCGAGGCTAAAGTCCGCAGCGGCTACGGACGGATCCGTGGTGGTTGCCGGTGGTTGCGAGTGTTGCTGTTGTTGTTGTTGCGGCAGGCTGCGCACTCCTGGACTGCCGGCGCCGTACTGCTGGTGCGGGTGCAGAGGGGAACCTGGAAACAACGCATCACACGAGATCGATAATAACATGTGCTTTTTATTCGAAAAAATTTAGAGCATTTCAGAAAATATTGTCATATTCGATATTGTAATTTTCTTGCAAAAGTAGCTTCTTTGAAACTGAACACTTCATATACTTGAAGATTAAAAAATTTTGAATTTATAAATTTTTGAGAATGTTCAACTGTACAAGTATTATGAGGAAGGATCATTTATATGACTGTTATTACAATTCTTACTGAATACGAATTCATAAGTCACAATGACTACTTTGAGCTCATCTACACGTTTATCGTCTCGAAGTATTAACAAGCTTTCGTACATCATGTATCTTAATATCGATTTCTGCATAAATAGTGACTAGTTTAAAAGATAACGAAAATGATGCATTAGGGTGACCGATCATCGCGTCGACACACAATCGACACCTGACACACGGTGCACTATGATTATGACACATGGTGCATCGAAAATGTTTCGATAATGACACTAAACGCGTTAAAATAGGTATCAGAAGAGATTGATGTCTGTAGTACTCCTGGCAAATATAATATTGCGAATATACCCTAACGTACCAAGATTATAAAAGTGAAATTTGATTTTCTGCAAGATTGAACAGAGAATAGGATTAGATTCGGTTAGGACTTACCGGTTCCGGTACTGCTGACAGAGTTGACTGATGAGGATTGCGACATTTGCATCTGCAGTGACATCTGATTATTACTCTGCTGCATGGCTAATGTCTGTTGCTGGTGTTGCTGCGATAGTAGCTGCTGCATTTGAGTGCTGTTAGCCATACCGGAACCACCGATACCTCCGCTTTGTGAACGAATCAGCTGTTGATGTTGCATCTGTGCGGCGTTCATCTGCATCCCGCCTGTGCCACCCATACCGAAGCCACCTGCAAAATACCACCGAAATCGTAACGCGTGCTTCGACAGGGTGATCGATGTGGCGCGTTCGCGTCGCGATCGAGTTTGCAACCGACCCCGACAACGTTCGATTTCCCGAATAGACCGCGATACGCGTGGTCTTACAGAATATCGAGGTTGAAGCCCGCCGTTGAGTCGAGGGAATTCAGCAGCTCCTGAGCGCTGAAGTTCGACGTGTCTCCGGTCGGAAGATTCTCCAGAAATTCGAGGCTAAAGTCCGCAGCGGCTACGGACGGATCCGTGGTGGTTGCCGGTGGTTGCGAGTGTTGCTGTTGTTGTTGTTGCGGCAGGCTGCGCACTCCTGGACTGCCGGCGCCGTACTGCTGGTGCGGGTGCAGAGGGGAACCTGGAAACAACGCATCACACGAGATCGATAATAACATGTGCTTTTTATTCGAAAAAATTTAGAGCATTTCAGAAAATATTGTCATATTCGATATTGTAATTTTCTTGCAAAAGTAGCTTCTTTGAAACTGAACACTTCATATACTTGAAGATTAAAAAATTTTGAATTTATAAATTTTTGAGAATGTTCAACTGTACAAGTATTATGAGGAAGGATCATTTATATGACTGTTATTACAATTCTTACTGAATACGAATTCATAAGTCACAATGACTACTTTGAGCTCATCTACACGTTTATCGTCTCGAAGTATTAACAAGCTTTCGTACATCATGTATCTTAATATCGATTTCTGCATAAATAGTGACTAGTTTAAAAGATAACGAAAATGATGCATTAGGGTGACCGATCATCGCGTCGACACACAATCGACACCTGACACACGGTGCACTATGATTATGACACATGGTGCATCGAAAATGTTTCGATAATGACACTAAACGCGTTAAAATAGGTATCAGAAGAGATTGATGTCTGTAGTACTCCTGGCAAATATAATATTGCGAATATACCCTAACGTACCAAGATTATAAAAGTGAAATTTGATTTTCTGCAAGATTGAACAGAGAATAGGATTAGATTCGGTTAGGACTTACCGGTTCCGGTACTGCTGACAGAGTTGACTGATGAGGATTGCGACATTTGCATCTGCAGTGACATCTGATTATTACTCTGCTGCATGGCTAATGTCTGTTGCTGGTGTTGCTGCGATAGTAGCTGCTGCATTTGAGTGCTGTTAGCCATACCGGAACCACCGATACCTCCGCTTTGTGAACGAATCAGCTGTTGATGTTGCATCTGTGCGGCGTTCATCTGCATCCCGCCTGTGCCACCCATACCGAAGCCACCTGCAAAATACCACCAATGGTTTCATTTAATTTCATATTTCTTAATATTCTAAACTCTTAAATTCGTAAATCAGAAAATTTGTCTCGATGAAAATTCTCATGGAACAAAAATTACTACATGGTAAATCGGCGTGACAGTCGAAGTATTACAGATCCTCGTTACAACCCAACCCCATCAAAAAGTGGCAGCACTTATGACCCCGAATCACACTAGGAACACATTACACGGTATAAAAAGCAGCATCGTTTCGTCACAGTCGGCGTCCGCGTAGAAAATGAATTCTGAAGATCGCGGCATAACCGAAGACAACTTAAGTAGCCAACACCGATGGGGTCGAGCAGGAAAAAGGGCGTAACTAACCGAATACCGCCCCGTTCTTCGCGCGAATTACCACCATGAAAGGATCGTGAACACGATATGGGTCCATCGACGCTTACCTTGGTGACCTTGCTGGTTGAATTGCGATCGCATCTGTGTTTGAAAGCCCTGTTGCTGCATCAGAACGTGTCGCCACTCCTGCTGAGCTCCACGACCCGCGATACTGTTCCCGAGGCTATCTGGAGGACCGACGCTGACGTTAGGCGGCCGTTGATTATTAGTTCTAGGATATCCGAGACGTTGGTGCATCTGATGCATCCCACCGATGGCGGCCATGCTACCGCCACCCATGTACATGTTGCCACCGGCAGCGTGTAGCGCTTGTTGCTGCTGCTGCGCCATTTGTGGCCTCAACATTGGACCTGCGAGCAAAAAGAATATGTGGAATTGTTACTACATCCTTGCTGCTTCTTACGGTATAAATGCTAGTACGTTTAGTATTAGTACGTTTAGGTTCACATGAGAACACGTATGACCTCATAACTTCGGATAACTTCCAAAGTACGTGTCCTTTGATTAGGTGCTTCAAAATTAGATACATCGTTCAAAGTTACATGGTTGAAGACTAGTTACTTCGTTCAAAGGCAGCTGCATTTCATGTATTACATAGTAAGTGTACAATCTGAAGGTGTTTGAAGACACATATTTAAGAAGTTATTCAAGATGCATACTTTGAACAAAATCAGTTGTCACATCAATACTAACTATATTTATAACGTTCCTTTGCTATATTTAATCATATTAAATATAGAAGTCTGACATCTATAATTACAGAAAAGATCAGATACGAAAGGGATACACCTCGATCAATTAAGATTACACGAAAAACAGAGTTCTTCATGCAGTTTCTCAACCTGTCTCGTAAAATCGAAGTGTGATACGCGTCTGAGCAATTTTATATTTTTAAAACACCGGCAGAAACAGGATTCAATCAGCGCGGATAGTAATCGATCGTAAAGAGCGAGGCTAGTCAGATGCAGGGTTAGATACCTATTTCAAAAAGAAGACGCTTTAATGCTCTGTGGATTTTCGTTTGGATAGAATCTTATGAAAGTAGCTCGAGGCAGATCGATACAAGCCTTGTACGAGCTTACGGTGTAGAAGAATATTTACGACCCTCTCTCCGTTTTATCTGCTTCTTTTCTTTCTGATTCGCAACTGGAGGATCGGCTCTTCTCTCGAATATTCGTCTAAATGTTTGTTAAAAAGTACGCGAACGCTCTAATGCTCGTTCCGCGGATCAAATATTTTTGCGAGATTATTCGTTTACCTTTTATGTCCGCTCGATTCAATTTCCCTTGCGTTTCTCTCTGTGTAACCCAAGTAAATTCGGCGAAAATTCTACGCGCGGTAATCTCATTTTTTAGTCAATTTAATCCTGCGTTTCGATAACATTTAGTTTTCTAGGAAAAGTGGTAACAGCGAAATTCGTCAAAACTGAGAAATTTATCAGAACCCGTCATAACTGAGAAATTCGTAAAAATTTCAAAGATTGATCGAAGATCGATCAGTTACTTGTCAAGAACGAATCGTAATGAGCGAAAGAAGAACAGGCAAATTGTAATTCAAATTTTCCGCGCGTATCTGCATATGTATGAAGGAATTTGGATTAAGTACTTAGTATTGTTTATCGACTACATACCCGAAGGTGGCATCGGTTGTTGCGTAACCCTACGCATAGGTCCAGTGTTAGGAAACCTTGCTTGCTGACCCATGCCAATTCCAGCGTGCATCATCTGGGCCTGAGCAGCTTTGTATTCGGGTGGTGGCGGCCTCACACCGCCCATTCCTCCTGCCATGTGTTGCTGTTGTTGCATCACCTGAAAATATCACCAGATAGCATTTGATTACAATTCTGATACTTTGAGTTTGATTATTACATCTTTGTTACATTATCAAATTAGGGTGGAGGACTCAAAGTTTTGCATTCTGACTGCTTCCTCATGAAGTTGTAGTTATCGAATTTTCATAATATCTGAAGTCTTGAAGTTCTGAAGTCTCAAATTCCTGAAGTTGCAAGCCTACTAAGTTCTATGTTCTTGAAGGGTCAAGCTACGTCAGTTGAAAATTATTTGAAGTTCTAAACTTTGAAGGTCCCTGTCTTTCTAGGTCCTAAATTAATGTTTCCCATAGGTCCAAACTATCGAAATTCCAAATGATCCAAGCTCCCAAGCTGCTAAAGTACCAAACTCTCAATGTTCCAAATTCCAAAAGTCGCAACCTCCCACAGGTCCAAGCTCTCAAAATTCCAAATGATCCAAAGTCCCAAGCTTCTAAAGTACCAAACTCTCAACATCCAAACTCTCAATGTCCCAAATTCCCATCATTTCAACCTCCCACAGGTCCAAACTCTTAAAATTCCAAATCATCCAAAGTCCCAAGCTTCCAAAATCCCAAACTCTCAATATCCAAACTCTCAAAGCCCCAAATTCCCAACGTCTCAACCTCTCACAGTCCCAAACTCCCAAAATTCCAAAACACCCAAAGTCCCACTCTCCCAAATTCTCAAACTCCCAACACCTCAACCTATTAAACTTCCAACCCCCAAAAATCCAAAATGACCAAACCCTCAATCTTCCAAAGTTCCAAATTTTGTCTCTCGCCAATTAACAAAAGCACATCTTCCATGTCTAAAATCTGAAGGTCACCTGAATAGACTTGATCAACACATATGAACCGCAAGTCGAAAACGGGGATACAAATGGGTTAGAAAGTCGAGCAGTGGTGAATTCCAAAGGAATAATTACTCCTCGGTTCGCGGAACGCATCGATAACTCGTTACGAGTTGCATTGTCGTCGAGCCAACGAGTACGGAAGTTCCATGCATCGGTGTCGTTGCACAAGTCTTCGTGGATTGCGTTTCCACTTCCTGGTGTTACGCGTCAGTCAACGAAAGTCTACGACGTTGGACGGAAAAGCGACCAGACACCTTCTTTCACCATTTTCACCTTCCTTCTTCCTAGCACCTTCTTTTGATCATTGATATCATCATTTTTTAATAATGACAAATACTTGAATTTGTATGACGATTCTTTAATTTCTGCTTTCTTTGAATAATACGAGATGTTTGGATAGTATGAGACTGAGGATAATATGGGACATTTCATAATATACTCATAAGCTATGTCATAGTCTAACAAAGTACTGAAGCTCTAACAAAGAACTCAAACTCGCTACATAATTCACGAAGAATGCTATCAGAAGACAACAAATATTCGACAAATGCAGTTTGTTTTTTACACGATTAAAGACAGCACAATGTCCCTGTTTCGTGCGTTCTCACGCGTTCGAATCTCACGGGCGAGGAGAAGCAATTGAGCCCAGCATCGAACAAGAAACGAAGCGGAAGGTCGACACTTGACGAAGGATGACTAACCAATTGCGCGAAACCTACAATTAGTAAGTGGAGCACGATCGGAGAGCTGCCTTCGATACCTTAACGTAGTTAAAGTAATGGTTGGTATTATAACTGAGTCATTCGTTAATAAATCCATGTTGCATGTCCGCCAGCGCAACGTGACTGCACCGCATCGCCGAGTGCATCCTGCAGATCTGTAAATCGCTGATAATTCCGCGCTGTTGATTTCAATCTTCCCGCCAGTTTGTTTGTCGAGACTCGATAAATCGCTTTGATAATCGATTATAACGACGCTTATAGTCGAGGGTATATAATTGAAATATTTTGCGTGATATGCATCTGATATCGTACTGCAAGTTTCTGTGCTTTCAGATTTTTGTGTTATGGATTTACAAATTTTTAGGGTTTTAAATTTTCATATTTCTAGTTTTGTAGGTTTATATATTCTTAGATCTCAATTGCTCTAAATTTCTATTTCCACAGATTGCGATGCTCTTAGATTTCTATATTTTTAGCTGTCTATAGTCAGAAGTCTCTATACATCCAGATCTCCACATTTTTGTACCCTTAACACCCTTATACCTCCACACCCCTATATCTCTATATTCCTAAACTTCTAAATGCCCAGATCTCCAGATCCGTAGCTCCCTAAACCCTCAAATCTCTCCACATCCCTAAATCCACACCCCCTACACTAAAAGACCAATAAAACAAAAATCGGAAATGAACTACTGTAATAAAAATGAAAAGATGAACGAATGATGGGCTATTGAAAATTAAGTAGTAATGGGTTCGTGTAACGCGAAGTGGCGAAGGCGTGATAGGAATTCAGAAAGTCGCGTCGATCCCGACGGGTCGATTTTGCATTCGATCTTTTAAGTAATTTTTCAATAGCACACCGGTGAACATCGTTCGAGAAGGTAATTCGTGGAAGACGACGATTCAGTGACAGTAATTGAGCCCGTGGACACAGTTTCTTCGGATGCAAATTGAGAATGCATAAAAGATGAAGAACACCGTGCCGGACAAGATGTAAATGACTGCATGCAAATGTTGTCTGATTGCAAAGTTGTCGGCGTTACATTATACCAGCGGGTAACTAGAACAACAAGTTGATACGATGAAAGTCGCTTGCACTTTTTTCTTTCAGCTTCTTTCGCGGAGGGCGAGAACTTTGGTACAAAAGTGAAAATCTTAAGACACGTTGCATTATAGAGGGGACGGTATGAAAATATTCTGATTAAGGTTCTGTGAGCGATTGTTATAATTTTCTTTCTTTTACGTTGGAAATGAAACGGAAAAAAATATAAAAGACGAAGTGTTAAAAATTTGACATCTTCAATGCTGTAAAGTAAACTTGCCAATCTAATTTAGCTTTTAATAACAAATATTAAAAATTGATTTTCTTTCCAACTAAATACTCGAACCACAGCTAACAAATGTAAACAAATTTTCCTTCTACTAAAAAATTTTCCCCAAAAAAAATATTTTATCTTCTATAAATATTCGACAGGAAGAAACAAGCGTGTATCGAGGAATTAAGTTTACCGAACGATTAACTTTCTTATCCGGAGAAATCATAAGAAAAGGCAAGAGTCGCGGTTATATCCGACATTAGGTTCCCTACAGGAAGCGCGGGCGAACACAGATTTTCCGGTTACAGAAAAAGTTTCCATTCATTGTTCCGCGACCTCTAAGAAGCTCCTCCTATTTGTGCCGCTTCTTTCAGCACGATGGAACAGAAGTTGCAAAGGAGCCGCGATACCTGTTGCACGACGACGACTGAATCACCGGATACGAACTTAATGTTTCGGATAACGCGCCGCCAGAGATATCGCGACGTGATTTCTTTCTGATGCTCGATAGTCGATCCATCACCGTGTCGGGAATAAGCTTCCGGAACATGGTATTGTTCGCGCCGACAGCTACGAAAAAGATTGGCAAACAAATCACGATTCCGACGCACCCTTCGATCAATTCCTGAATCTTGGAGTTACGTTTCGCGACGCGAATCGAATCTTGTAATCGATTTGGACCGGTGAGCAACGAGAAGGTATATTGTAGACTTGCACTCACTGATGGGTAGATTTTATTTTACATGGAGTACAATTTTTGTGATAAATGATTTCTTGTGAAATAATAAGTACAGAATAAATAGGAACAGAGTGATGCAAGTGAGACTGAAGTCACAGAGTTAATACTGGAAATGATGCAAATATGTGATCATAGGATTAATGACCAATTCTTAATTCACTTTGTGACGTTCTCATTCTGTCAGACTTGCATTAGATCAGACAATGTTCTGAACTGAAGATCAAGTCTTGGTTATAGTCAATCGTCACTTGAATAGTGATGAACGATGTTCTGAACTGCGTGACATAGCAGAACATCTATAAAATTAAAAATCTTCACTCCCGTATTGAAACACCGCCCTTCATGAATTGCAAAATTACATAAATAATTTAACGAATAAAAACTTCTGAAAGATAGAACATTAGATCATTAATCCCATTTTAATCAGAATTATTCCCCACAACCCTTCAATCACCCTAACCAATTCCTGAAAGTATCTGCTATCTTTAACAAGCATATTTCAAAAGTAACCTAACTTCGATAGTATCAAAGCTCGTATAATTAGAGGTCGATGGAGGATTAACCTAAAACCGGTACCGATCCTTAGACCCGCCAACCATTTCTATTAGCATAGATAAGCATCGTGTTCAGAACCATTAGGTAATTAAACCATAAACCAACCTTTGTTCACGCCCTCGAAAGCGAGAGCACGTGTACAAAAGTTTCGAACAATCGATTAGGGAGGAAAGTATACAACGGACACCAACCTGCTGGGCGCGCATCAGTTGTTGTTGCTGAAGAAGCTTCGCGTGCTGATGTTGATCCACCTGATTCTGCGGCACTTGTTGAGGATGGTTGCGAGCTCCTGCAGCCCCTGCAGGCTGCGGAACGCCACCTGCAGCTGCGGCTCTTTGTCTCAGACTTTGTTGAGTGAAATTGATCGTCTGAGACTGAGAAACAGAACAGTACGTATCGGTTTGCCCGCCTGGTCCTGACTGATTCTGACTTTGCTGCTGATTGAAGTACATGCCCTGTTGAGCCGCCACCGATACGCCGGGTTTCAGGTCACCCGTGAGCTGCATGTGCTGACCTGCAGACACCTGTAATCAGAAGAGACACTTACATTAGCATTATTGTAGACTGGTATTTTAATTGTGTACAAAAAGAAACGATTCTTTGAAGTAGACTAAGGGATTTTTGTAGTGGACCTTGACTTTGATGTATGTTATGAAGGCTGCCTTTCGGAATATTTTGCCAGTCATTTATTAAAAAATTATAAAAGGAAGTTAATCTGTGGTATACTAGTTATGTTAGAATGAACTATGTTCTGAAGATCTTGTTCAAATAAAAACAGTCCTCTGATATGATTAACAAGTATAATATTTTATAATAGCTGTATTTAATCTACCTTATGAAACACCCTATTATACCAGTAATTAATGGGCTCAAGATAAAGATCTCCAAAGAGTAACAAATAACTTATCAGACTGATCAGTTGATTCGCAACCCTCCACAATAGATCAGCAAGTAATCGTTTAAGAAAAGATCCGAATCTGCATAGAGTAATCTGGCAATCTGCATCGTGAATTTCCTGTCAGCAGGATACCGCAGTCATTACGACAAAGGTTTTATCGTAGCACGCGGTGATTTAGCCCGTTTCGCGTGATCCACGATCGAAGATAGATCGAATCGATCGGTGCTTTTCATCGGGAGACTGGAACAACGAGCTCGCCACAGGTGGGCTGGAATTTGATTTCTTGCAAAAAAGCGGTGGACAAGTGGCGACTATTGTCCTGTCGTCGCTTGTATCGTGGCCAATGATACAAAATGGCTACCGTTCTTCGATAACTCATCCAACGAGCGGTAGGGAAAAAGGACTGAGGCACGAAGTTTGTATAGCTTCGATGACTTCTGACCCCGGACAATCGAGTTCAGTCCGATGCTTCCTCTCATCACGTCTCTACATTGTGTTAAGAAGTCATCGTTTACATTTGCAAACAGATTTAGTTTTGGATCAATCGAATTAAGCGAAAGTGGATTATTCTTGCGATATAGCTTGATCTTTCAAAAAGACTTGATGTGTAATTTAATTAGAGTACCAATGTACTTTCACTGTACATTTTATTGAGCATCTATAAATAATAATAATAATATCACTCTTAAAATAAGACATTTCTCTATTCTCCACCTTTATTCCAAAGATCCATCCTTTGTTCGTGTCGCATGAAAATTGATGCGATCGTCAGTGCTTTATTATAGCAACTTATGACCAGCATGACCGTGTCTAACTGTCACAAGGTCGTAAGCATAACCGAGCCAAGCCTCTATCGTTCTCTATAGACATCAAATTTTCTAACGTAAGATCGCATCACTGATGGTCGATTGAACTATATAGAAACCATGTCCTAATTTGTCGGACAGGAAAATATTTGGGTGTCAGATCCTCGTTGACCAACCTGAATTCTGCACGGTCACGGTGCTATTTCACCGAGACAATGGCGCACCCTTTCGCGTTCTCCGCGAATAATCTTCATTACGGCAATTAGCGTCGCCTGACGTTCGCAGACCTTCCTCTTCAGCTTCGTTTTGCAAGTAGAACGGCTCGCTCCGAGCACCGACCGCTGTTATATCAGGTGCCACGGAATTTCAGGAGTAACATCATCGCCCGGTCCGGTTTGCATAACAAATGTTTGTTGCTTAGTTTCTGTAAATTGGCCGGGGTGTAAAATGTCGACGGCACGTTTTCTATGTAGCTTAATGGAGTACTATTCACATGGCCATTTCACATTGCTAGAGTCAATGCAACACTTTTATTGACTTTGTCAATGTAAAATTTTTACTGACTCTGTCAATGTAATATTTTTACTGGCTCTGTCAATGTAACATTTTTATTGACTCTGTCAATGTAACATTTTTATTGACTCTGTCAATGTAACATTTTTACTGATTCTGTCAATGTGACATTTTTATTGACTCAGTCAATGTAACATTTTTATTAACTCAGTTCATGTAACATTTTTATTGACTCTGTCAATGTAACATTTTTATTGACTCAGTCAATGTAACATTTTTACAGACTCAGTCAATGTAACGTTTTTATTGACTCAGTCAATGTAACATTTTTACTGACTTTGTTACAATTTCATTTAACAGCTTCATATATTGTATCATGAATCCAAATGTTAAATCCTGGTTATAGTATGATGAATATATGAACTATGTTGGTATACGGACTCCTAATTAGCTGATTAGTTTGCAGCCACCGATGACCCCAACATCGAACGAAATCTTCGTGAGTTCGTGCGAACTCGACTGCCTCCGTGAAAACGATTAAAACCACGAGCACGTAAGCCGTACATACAGCAGTCTCGAGCGGAAACGAGCGGGCAAAGTTACGTGTTTGCAAGGGCCAGGTAAAGCGACAACACCGGTGGCTTTTAGTTATGACGCCAGCAGAGAAAGCCAGTCGGGCCCAGGTCGCGCATAATTAGCCTAAATCACGACGGGCCGTCCCGCTGGGAACTCCTGGCCACGACATCTGCATAGCACGTGTCTTGTTATCTCCTGCTTAGGAGGACTGAGGAGTTTCACCGAAACTGCGAGAGCAGTCCTCGGCTTTCGTGGACGAGTCCTGGAACCTAATGTTCGGACGGGAATACTAATATGGAGAATCCAACAACACGTTCTAATACCTTTTACGGTCCATGAGACGTTTTAACGCCCTCTGAAGATGCTCCTTTTACTTCTCTCTCGTGGATCGTCTTGTTACGCTGTTTCCGGATGGATTTTCGCATTTGGGGACTTGGAGACTTGGATTTCGAGATTTGGGGTTTTGGGGATTTTGGGACTGAAGAATTTTGCAATTTGGGGATTTGGAGATTCAGGAATTTTGAGGTTAAGGAATTTAGGGATCTGGAGATTTGAGAATTTGAGGACTTGTGAACTTGCAGATTTAGGCACTTAGAGATTTCGAATTTTGATAATTTGGAAAATTTTCATGGATTTGTGGATTTGTAGTTTTAGGAATTTGGGAATTTGAGGACTTGGGAGTTGGTGGATTCAAGGAGGTAGAAATTCTTATATACATACATATAGGAATTTAGGAATTTGGAGATTTGATAATTTAGACACATAATTTGAAATTGTCAAAATTTAGATACAGAAAGTTGGAAAGTTCAGAATTATAAAATTTAAACATTCAAGAATTTTGAAATGAAAATTAAACATGCGAAATTTCTCAAATTTTTAATACGAGATGAACTCCAGACTCTACAAAGGAAAATATTTTCTCGTCGACCGATTTTCACGACCGGAGAATTGCAGGGACTTAAAATCACGTCTGGTTGCAATTGAGCACCGTTAATGACGGTGGTACCATTAACGATCGTACATATTCGAACGATTTGACGATGCAGCCTCGCGAACAAACTCGTCTCATCGATCGTTCGACGCGCGCCTATAGACACACGTATTTCGCATAATCACCATCTTCGCTACTATGTAGCCGGTGGGACAGATTAGCAAACCTGTTACAACCGATATTCAGCGTAGTTATCCGAAGTATAGTTATCGCGTCAGGTACTAATTATTAATTACACGAACGGATAGCGCCGTCTCGAGTAATTAATAATATCCGTTTCAAGCTGTGATTGCGAGTGACTGCGCGCCACGTTATCGATCTGAGAAAACCGACCTATACATACGCATATACGTGTGTCTGTCGTGTGTTTCTCCGATATCAGTACGAAAATGTCGCTCGATCTGTGTCCGTGATTTAAAGCAACGAATTTGCATGGTTGTATGACGACTTAAATTTGAACAGCTTGGTGTCCCTCGATTCAGCGATGGGGAGGCTTGATGGTGAATCAGCGTTTAATAGGTTGATTCGTGTTTCACTGTTTTCAAGGATTGTTCTGTGTCGTGTTGCTCTATTACCCCGTTAAGGAGGCAATTAATTTTCTCGCTATTAATTATTCACGGTACTACTTAGTCATTGCTATGTACTTATTAACAGTTTGTAATTACTTGTGCTACCGGTTACGATATCAATCACTCGCGCTAATTATTTAGGACTCGTGGTAGGTTGACAAACAATTGTTACTGTGAGTCATTTATGTAACTAATTACCCGTTGCGAATTATTTAATTTAGCTGTACTATCTTACTACATAAGCAGCTATTTGTTTATAGCTATTTGCTATTTGTCAACGGTTTAGTTTAGCAGTCACTCGTTGTTAATTAATTACTTATTTGTTTAGCTACTAAATTAGCTACTTGTCACCAGTCCACATCGAGAATCTTTTTCTCACAAATAATATTCGCAAGAATTATTAGGCCACGTAGCAGGTCGGCACGGACGAAAGCGTGTCTAATTCGCGTATAAAAGCATCGTCGTCGCGTTGCACGGAAGCGTGAGCGGGTAGCGAGCGAGGAATCGCGTTGCGGCTAATATCGCGATGCCGTAATCGCTAATCATAGCGCTCGCGACTTGGCTCGTTCCGCTGTTGAGTGAGTAAGTTGTTCCACACACGAAAGATATGAAAGCCCGAGGAAAGTCGTGGTGTTCCGAGCTTCTGCTGTTCGATCGTTGCCGAGCAACAACGAGCCGAGATGGGAATAGAGACGCTGAAAAAGACTCGAATGCCGGAAAACGTGGGCGGACGTTCTTGCCGAGATTGGGGTTAGCCGAAGAGATGGGATTGGGAGTACAGGCTGAAAAGTCGAATGGAAATACAAAGCTCGTTTGAAGCGTCCGATGAATGGCTTGAAAGACGCTCGAATTTGATACGTTGAAGGCTCTAGGGTCAGTTGCTTGTTCACCGGGTACTTTCTTGATTACCGACTGAACATTCTTTCATTTCACTACTCCTTAACAAATGCACAATCAAGTTTTTCTAACTGTAGAAAATTATTTGACTACTTTTGTCGGAGAATGAAAATATCTTCAAATTAATTTTTGGAGCTCAAATTGATCTTATAAGTATGCTTTGTGTTGTTAGACATTCATGAGGGTGATATCGATCGGTCAAGTGTAATCGTTAAAATTAAATCCTCTTCTGTTTTCTACCAGATATTTTAACTAAATATTGCAATTAATGTCT